CAATAACCCATAGCCCCACACCAGGACTTTCAGCGCCTCTCAGATTGACTCCTGGCTACGCCCCAAGTGCAAGCTAGAACTCCAGGGAGTTTTTAAGGCAGTGACCTGCTTTCCTGGGCACTGCTGGGGAGATTCAAACCACCAATCTTTGGCTAATACTTGAGCATTTAACCAACAGTGGCACCCAGGGACTCCCAAATGTAAGTGGTGGTATGGTGTGCCGTGGAGTCGATTCCAGCTCATAGCGAACCTGTTTAGGGTTTCCGAGGCTGTAAATCTTCATGGATGCAGAAAGTCTCATCTTGGAGCGGCTGGTAGTTTTGAACTGCTGACCATGCAGTTAGCAGCCTGACTTGTAACCACTATGCTACCAGAGCTCCTTCCAAATGCAAGTAGGGATAGGAAAAATGAACAGACTTGATCCAGCCCTTCTCCCACCCTCACGATTAGGAAAGAGGATGGAGCCAGTCTTCACTATGTCTGGCCTGAGTCCTCCGAAGCAGACACTAATGAGGACAGACGATGGCTGTTCTCCTGGCCTGGTAGCGGAAAGACGTCCAGAAATCTCCAGCCCAGAGAGCTGTCATAATTGCCGCACGGATGAGCAGAAAATAGCAGATGATAAATTTTTTAGGACCACCCTCGGTGTGCCAGTTGTAGCAGACTGTAAGCTAATGTGTTAGACTTTTTTGGAGCATGTATTATTGATCTGGGTCTGTCTCGTGGTTTATAAAAAGCCCATCCTCTACCACTCACCTCTCTGTCCCTCATCTCCTAAAAGGAACACCCAAACCAAATCCCCTGCTGTCATGCCAATTCCATCTCATAACCACCCTGGAAGACAGAGGGGAACAGCCCCATACAGTTCCCAAGGCTGCAGATCTTGTTGAAAGCAGATTGCCTCATCTAGTGGGTTCCAACTGCTAACCTTTCCATTGGCAGCAGTGTGCTTTAACCATGGTGCCACCAGCAGTCCCTTAAAGGAGCCCAGCCTGTCCTCTGAAAGCCAGTTCAACCGCTGGAGGAAGTAAGGGCTCATTTGCAGGAAGGGAGGCTTTTAGGCACAGATCTATGGAGCTGAGTGCTGGGTGAGACCGGGCAGACACCACATGAGGAGGTCTAAACCCATGACAGCCACTTCCTGGAAGTTATCTTTAGAAACACTCACTGGTGTATGCAAAGGTGTGTGGGCAAAGACATTCCCAGCAGCATTATTTGTGAAAACTTTCTTTCTCTCACACACACATCAAGCTGGAAATAATGCAGTGTCCACCCCAGCAGGCTGGTTCAGTAGAACAGTGGTTAAGAATGTGGGCAATGGGTTTCAGTCTTGTTTGATCACAGTCTAGCCGTGCAACCGTGGACAAGTGACAAGTTCTCTGTGCATCTGTAAAATGGGGAGAATGAACTAGGTCTGTTAAGTAGGAAATGGTGTTCTTTGCTCTTCTTTTCTGTATTCCTCAGCATAATCATGGCTTTTTCCTTTTATATTTGCATCTTGTGTTGGTTTTATTTGAGAGTCACAGATGCAAGACTACAGCTGGAGTTCAGCATGCAGCTTACTGGGTTCAGGTTGCCACTGGAGTGTCTCACCCCTAAGGGATAGTATTAAATTTCTTCCCTGTCTTCTCTGCTCAGAAACTTGAGTTGTCCTGGATTCTTTTTTCTTTAACTCTACATCCAACTGTAGTGAGTTAAGTGTTGGGCTGCTAAGTGCCCAACCTACCAGATGCTCATTGGGGGAAAGATGAGGGGTCTATAAAGATTCGCAGCCTTGAAAGTGCTATGGGGCAATTTTACCCCGTCCTGTAGGGTCACTATGAGTCTCGATCATCTCAGTGGACGTAGATTTGTTTGCGTGTGGACATCTAATCTATCCATCAATTCAGTTACCAACATATTCCCAGTGGAATAACCACATCTCACCTGCCTCATTGTTTCCACCCTGGTCCCAGCATCCACCGTGGTCCAACCAATTATTTCAGTGGCTTCCTAATGGGTTTCCTGCCTCTTGTCTTTGCCCTCTGCAATCTAACTGCAGTTTCAGAGCCACAAGGAGCCTGTTGGAACCTGATTCAGACATGTCCCCTCTGACATAAGGGCCCTAACTCATGCCCACTTTACTAAGAGCAAAACTCATAACCACTGTCCAGAAGGCCCCTGTGACCGAGCCCCAGTCACCTCCCCACGTCAACACCTCGTCACTCCAGCCCTGATTCCTCTCACTCCAGCTGCCTGGCACATTCTACTCCAACGCGCCACGTTCATTTCCAGTCCCACATCTCTGCCTTTCCAGTTCTCTCCTCCTGGAACAATTCCTCCCCAGTTCACCAGCGCCGAACACAGGAAGCTACACAGAGCAGATGCTTAATAAACATTGCAGAATAAATGAGCGAACGCCCAGGGCATCTCAAATTCCCAGACCCCACCACGACCTAGACAGTTTGAGGGGCCACATGGGGCGAGACTCAGGGGTTCAGCTGCTGCCTGCAAGTCTTCTCGGCAAAATTCCCCTTAGACACCAAACTCACATTCCAAGGCCCGATGGTGTGTAAAGTCCCTTTGGTTATCAAACCTCAGTGCTGCTGGGAGGCAGGTAGACTATGTGTCAAACTGTCAATAAAAGCTCAGGGCTCTGATTGCTTCCTGGCTGCAAATTCTTTTTGCACTGATAAGCTCCCAGAGGAGGAAAAAAAAAAAAAAATCTATTCTCATGATCATTAATACAAATCATTACAAGGAACCACTTGGTTTTATATAAATCATCTTTTCTTGGCAGCTAAAAGAGTGATTCATGTTTTTCATATTGGATCCAAAAAGGGTGTAGACATGTAGCTGGAACTTGACTGCCATCTTACATTTGGCTGAAAAAGTTTACCCAGAAGACCTTTCACTTTGTTGCTACCAAGAACATTCCAAACTTGGTTGTCCTGTGATAGTGAGCAGACGCTAAAGGCCCACCCCTCACCTGGCCAAGGGTTGGCAGTCCTTACCACACTGGCAAGAACTTCAGGCTCACTGCACTCCAGCTACAACTGCCTTCTTGTTCCTGCCTCAGGGCTTCGCATATACTGGTCCTGCTGCCTGGAACACTTTTCCCTAGATTATCATGACACACTACCACCCTGATGAGGAGGTAAAACTAATGTGTTGTTGTTGTTGTTTATTGCCATCGAGTCGGTTCCGACCCATAGTGACCCTGAACAGGGTTTCCGAGGCTATAAATCTTTACGGGAGCAGAAAACCTCATCTTTCTCCCGCGGAGCAGCTGGTAGCTTCGAATTGCTGACCTTGCGGTTCGCAGCCCAATTCGTAACCACTACGCTACCAGAGCTAATGTGTAGGCGAAGGAAAATGCATTAGGCTGTGGGCTGTCCAGTACGGTAACCACAAGTCACATGTTGGTACTGGGCACTCGAAAGGTGGCTAGTCTCCACTGAGATGCGCTGTAGGCCTAACATCCATGCCAGATTTCAAAGACTTAGTATAAAGAAGGTCAACTAGCTCATGAATGATATTATGTCTTGATTACATTTAGAGATGATACAATTTCAGATACGCTGTATATTGTATATGGAGTCCTGGTGTGGCGCTGCAGGTTAATGGACTACAAGGTTGGTTTGATACAAGGTTGGCGGTTCACAAGTTTGATTATTTAAAAAAAAAAAATTACTAGAAGATTTAAAATGACAGATGCCACTCCAATCTGTGGCTTGCATAGGACAGTGCTGGAATAGGGTTTAATGAAGAGAATGGAACCATATACAAAGGGGAAAAGAGACAAGAGAAAGGAGGTTTTCACTGAGACAGATCCCAGGAGTGAGCTGGACACAAGTGTAGTTTGACTGACAGCTAAAAGTCCGGGTGAACTGGGCTCTGGAGCGCCCCCACTAGGTGGCCTCGTTTATGGCGGCTCTCCTCAAGCATAGAAAGAAATTTAGTTCAAGAAGAAGGAACCCATGGGTTATTTGGAGGGCGGTTTACACAGTCAGCCAAGGATGAGGCTGGGGAACTGGGGTCTGTTGGGAAGTAAAGGGACTGTGGGCTGGAGAAATTCCTGGATGCAGTGACCATGCAAATCCCCACCTTGCCCATCATCCATATGAATGAATACACCTTGGCAAGGACCCTGTCCCTACCTGGTCTACCTGGAGCCCACAGTGCTGCGCAGGGAGAAACCTCAGAAGGAGGGATGGTTGAGCTTAGCCTCCTGCTGGCACCACCTATGCCAACTGAGCTGGGTCACTAGCAACAGTGACAGCTTCCTACCATGCCTGTTCTCCTGCCCCTGGTGCCTCAGGAAGGCTGAGCCCACCGGAAACAATTCCACCCCCTCCACCCCCACCCTCCACATGAACACACATAAGGGTTGGCTCCTTGTTTTGTTCAGTGTCAGCTGCAATATCACCACCTCTGAGTAGTCCTCCCTGATGACCACTGTCGAGTAGCCCAGGCCACAACCACTACTGCTGCCTCTTCATTGCCATCCTAGCATCTGTCCTTCCTGATGTTGTCTTAGCTAGTTACTACCACTCCATGAGAGCAGGGATTGCTGGTCTTACTCATGACTGCTGCTCTTCCAGGTGCCCTGAAACACTGGCTGCACACAGTAGGTACTTCACAGAAATTTGTTGAAGAACTCAATTGGTCTTAATATCTCTTCTCCATATGGCTTTGGAGAAATCCCGCAACAACTCTGCACTAGGAATTTTTAAATAAATGAACTGCCCCTTAGCCATTTTTCCCCTCCAGAAGACTTTGACAGAAAATCCAGGAATGATTGTGCACCCCTACACTTGAGGACCCAGATGTGAATCCATATGTGAAGGTCAGTCCGGGTTGTCAGTTTAATCCACTTAGCATTGAACTCTTCACATCTATACCACCACCTTGCATCAGGAGCCCCATACCCAGCATGGAGACCTTATGCGTATGTGCACCTGCACTGAAGGAAGGACCCACGGTTGGTTCCTTGGTGCCCTCCCTCTGGGGACGCTTACCAAGCTCCACATCCTGGTCATCCGTCAGCACCAGGATGATGTTGGGGCGGATGTTCCTGCGGTCCCTCTGAAACCTGCCTTTCAGGCGATGGTGGGACAGGAACGCAGAGCTTCCACCCAGCAGAGAGAACAGCGCTGTGGAGAGCAAGCAAACCAGGAGGCTGGGGCGCACCATTGTTTGCAGATCCGGTGCTGCTTCCAGGGTGCGGGAGTCTGAAGTTGCACGATGTAGGTTTCTTTCTTTTCTTACTTCCCTCTTTACTCACGAATCTAAAGTAGGAGGAAAAGAAGCAGGTCAATATTTATGTACAAGCTGCCCTGCTGCCAGAACCCACATAACGATCTGCACAATGTTTTCTGGCTCGAACAATAAGATTTGCTTTGAAGAGCTGAAGCTACAACACTGCAAAAACGGAATTCGGCGAAGGTTAGAAGAAAAGGATTTGCAATTTCCCAGGCAACAGGCAGGTAAAAATGCCTCCTGAGCCCACTTCAACAGACAGGATTTCTCCCTGGGGCCCAGCGATGTCCTGGATGTGTTGGGGGGCAGCCTGTGTCCCAAGTCTTTAAAACTCTCAACAGACAAATCCTCTCCAGAGAAAGGAAATGCATTAGCCCAATCTGAGGGTACAAATTTTGTTGGTCCCCTTTATTTTGTCGTGGTTGTTAAGAATTTACATGCTTCGTAAAACATACACCAGCTCAACAGTTTCTACACATACAATTTGGTGATGTTAATTACACTGGGCAGCCATTTTCAGCCCTCTTTTCTGGTGTTTTTTCCTCATTAACATAAACTTACTTCCTAACTAATCTTTTTAGTTGCTATTGCCACTTTGATCCTATATAGATAGTTCTTTAAAGAATGTAATGCTTAAGGCAGACCTTTTTCTATTAGTTAAGCTAAAGTACTGTTTAGTTTTAAGAAGCCTTCAAGAGATATTTTTGGTTTAAGTATTAAAGAGAATCTCAGGGTAATAGCTTCAGGGGTTCATCCAGCCCCCAGTGGCTCCAGAAAATCTAGAGTCTAGGCAAATTTGAAATTCTGTTCTGAAATCTGCCCCCCCTTTTAATAATTTTATTGTGAATTATGTGATAGCATACATGGGAGAACATTAGTTTTACATTCATCCTATCGTATATTGTTTCATTGCCATGGTTACAATCCCCTCCATGTATCATCAGTTAACCAAAGGGTATACACTACAAGCCTGTCCCCCTGGTTGTCAGCACACAGTCGCTCTCCCTCTCTGGATCTAAAGTCCCCAGCTGCTCCATCGCTCCACGTCATCGTCTCTGCCTCCATCTCAGGCATCACTGCTTCTCTGGGTAGGGTCCCGTTCTCTGCTCGTCTCCCTTCATGGTCCCATGGACCTCCGCTCCTAGACTGAAAAGTTAATCACTCCCCTCCTTGCTACAAAACGTCTACCTTTACATTTCCAACCCTCACAATGAGTCCTGATAACAATTATTCACTATTGTATCACAAGAGACCTATCCGCATTACATTTCATCAGCTCTGCCTAAACAGATTCCTACCCCCCCGCCCCTTTTGATCAGAAATCTTAGAACCTTTGATCAAAATGTTTGGTAACAGTAGCTAGGAACCATCTTGCTCTTCTGGTGACAGAGACAGTTGCTCATGGAGGCAATTAGCCACACGCTCCATTCTTCCTTCTCATCTTGACTCTTCTTCCTTTGTTGCTCCAAGGGAATAAAGATCTGTTCCTCTCTTATCTGCTGGCACTGTGGGGGGACAGAGGTGGGTGGGAGAGTCCCAGCTCTTAAGTAGGTTCTCAGTCAATCAGGTATTTGGGGGACCATGGGGAAAGGCAGGAAAAAAGCACCTACTTTGGGCTGGATGACTCTCATGTTCCAATCCCATTCAGCACTCATGGGCTCCATGTTTCCCCATGAATGAACCAGTAAGGAACCTCACCTCATTAGTAAAGTGGGAGCACATCCTACCTCTATGAGGACTCAAGTCACTGGGGATGGTGTGGAAGCCCCTGTCAATGGACTCCCTAGCTGGATACAAGTTATTCATGCTCGTTCTAAGTTGCAAAACAGACAGAAGACAAGAGAATTTGGGTCTCCAAGGTCTAGATACCAGAACTACAGCCATTGCCCAGAGCCCAGGTGAGATCAGGGCAGTGAGAGGCAAGTGTGAGCATCCTCTGGTGTCCCTGTTATTTGCTCTCTGGTCATTTTTCTGCTTCTTGAGTAAATGAGCCTTCAAGTTCTGTACAGGAATAGACTTTTGGACTCATTTATTTAAGATGAGAGAAAGACAGACATGTTGGGAGGAAACCAAGTCCTTCATAGTCACTATTCCTGTGACCTTGAAGGAGTCTGCGCTGCTGTCCATGAGGGCACCCCGGCAGCCACCACAAAATCCCAGGGGTTGAGAACTCTCCAAGACCTTCAGGGGTGGGGCGGGCTCCCCACTTCCCCTTCCTTCATTCCTCCCCAGCACAGGAACCGGGGGAGACCAGGAATGTGCTCTTGGTCTTACTCTAAACCCTGCCTCCAAGAACCAAATGCAAATTCCCTGCCCATCTCTTTATTTCATCTACTCCATCCTCTTTCTCTCAACGTTCTCCAATTCCACTCCCTTCTTTCTGGTGCTCAGACAAGTATGTTTCCACCCCAGGACCTATGCACTGCCCTTCCTTAGATTGGCTCAGTCACCTCCTCACAAAAGCCTGCCCTGACCACCTCCCACTTCAGGCATTCTCTTTTTTTATATCCAGTTCTAGTTCTATCGAGATCCCTACTGCAGCTTGCAGCTGTGTTACTTACCACCAGTCTCCCTCACTGGAGGGTCAGCTCCCTGAGGGTCTGGTACTATGCCTGGCACACAGTGGAGCTCAATAAATACTTTCTGAATTAAAGGATGCTGGTTTGTTAGCTCCTTTCTCATTCTGCTGAATGAAGGCTGCTTGGCTTGGCAGGGTCACGTCATAATCTGGGTCGATGTGACCTCCCTCACTGATAACTCCCTCCCCAGTCATGCTCTGTGGGTCACAAATGTGAACGACCCTGGGCTGAGCTCTGAGCTCTCTGGGCAGTTCTGGGGTTGGAAAGACACTGGAGGGTCCTGGGGTGCCGCTCTGCTTGCTCTCTGGTCCAGTACCCAGCTGCTTAGGGGCAGGAGGCCAACTGTAAAGATTACATTGCCCCTCTCTCTGGCTCCCAGTGGGGAGAATGCAGGGCAGAAGGAGGTGGGGAATCAGCAGAGCCATCCACCTCCACTCCCTCCCTAAGCTGCAGTAGCTCCCCAGTGCCTTCCTCCTTCTATGGTACAGCTCCAGCTGTCATGGGGGGGGGGGGAGGGTAACGGCTCCTCTCTGTCACTAGTTCCTGGGGGCTACATCATCCCTTGGAGTCCTGGTGTAGCATCGTAGGATAAGCACCAATCACAAGGTTGTGGCTCAAATCCACCGGCTGCTGCTCGGAAACCCTAGGCAGGGTCTCTACGAGTTGGAACCGACTCAATGGCACTTAGTACCACCACACCATCCCTCAGTCCCACCCACTCTGCACACAGAGCTTCAATGGCTCTTCCGGCATGCTATGTGCATGCTGGCTGACTCCACGGTATTTGTCACCTGACTGGCTAGCATAAGGCATCTCTCCTGTAGTCTCCTTACCTGCCCCCTGAGGAGACTGGGAGCAGGGAGCCTTGGACCAGACACAGAGACAAATTGAGAATTACAGTATCAGCGGAGTTGGGGGCAGACCTAAGGTCTAAGACTCTGAGCTTCTCGGGACTGGAGGGTAAACACTGCTTCCTTCTCAACCTCCTTGGCCTCAAAAACACATCCTATGACAGTTACCGTTGCCACGGCAACAGTGTATTGGGCATGTGTTCAGTGCCACGTTATATGATGGCTAAGAGCATGCAGTCTGGAGTTAGACCTGCTCCTCACTTGTCAACATGGTTAGGTTCCAAAACCCACGTTCCTCTGTGAAAACAGAGGATGAGCACATCAGATCACAAAATTACATCAGTATGTAACTGCCAAACCAGAGAATCCTGGCTCAGCCTAGCCATCACCATCACCATCACAGCCAGCAGCACTCCTGCCTCATACCTTGGTACTTGTCACTGCCGGATGTCTGGTGTTAATGCACACTATAATCCGACAGATTTTTTACTAGAGTTGTAAATGTGAAACGTAGGCTAACACGATAGTTGATAAGGGAGGAACAGGTGTATTTGCTTAGTGTCCTTGGGCAAGTTATTTAACCCCTTGGTGCCTCAGTTTCCTCATCTATAAAATGGATGTTAAAGATAAATTGAGTTAATATACAGAGGGCTCACACATAATATTAATGAGAAAACAGAATGCATAATGTATTATTATTAGATCTTTGCTTCTATGTCCTGTGCTAAGCACTCTGTAGAATCTATTTCAACCCTCACAACCCTATGAGGGATCATCGCTCATCTGCTATTATCCCCAAGGCACAGCTGAGAACAATGAGGCTGAATCACTGTCCTCAGAACGCATACTGAGAAAGCAGCAGAGATAGGATCTGAACTCTGTACTGCCTGACTGCTTGGCCCCGGCCTCTGGTCACTAAGCTCATGTTTCTCAGTGTTTTCCAGTCAAGCACCACAGCCCCGGCTCTTGCAGTCTCTGCACAACCCTCCAGCTATTATTTGCCTAATGTGTTTAAGTGGCCTCATTTTGAAATAAAAACACAAATACATGTTTTTTGAAATTCTATGAAAACTTTCTCTCCAAGAATAAGTGGAAAATCAGCATCCCTTGCCATAAATAGCTACCCAGAAAAAGAAAGTCAAGGAAAGCCCAAACAGTGTTACTGAATTCTAAGTCTGCTTTGCATTTAAGGCTCTAAGCCCAAGCCCCACACAGTCTCATTCTCTGGCTCTGGCTCTTTAAGGGAGATTAACAGGTGTTGAAAGGAGTTCAATCACATTAGCACCATCCACAGACTTTGTGCTGGAAGTAACAGGAGGCTGTGAGAGGGTTGTACAGTGTAACATCTAGCTACCCAGTTGGTCCCCAAATAACCCCAAATTGTGGGGTGGTCCTCAAACCATGTTGTTTCTCTAGGTCCATATCCCACCTGGAAACACTCTATAATATACTGCTCTGTAAACTGTGGATGTACAAACAAACTAAAATGCACATTCATGTTCCAAAGATTCACAGATACCAAACAAAAAGAATAATTAGTTTCCAAGGGACATCCTACAAACAGCAACTCTCTGCTCTAACTATTGACAAGTAGCAACT